TTGGAGAGGATGTCTTTTGGTGGGTCGATGGGGAGGTAGGCGAAGTGTTCTTTGGATAGGTCGTAGATCAGTTGTGAGAGCTCGTTGAAGCAGTCCAAACTAGAGGTGAAGAGGTTTATTAGATCGTGTCCATTTATCGTTATCAACATGAGAATTTATAAGAGAATGTATGTTCGCCTTCGCGCTGATGCAGTTCAAACAAACGAAATGTAGAAAGAATGACATGAAATAGAAGGAAAAGAGAACGGAAGTATGGGTTACAAAGGCTCACTCACAAGAATTGATCGCCTTTGGTGCTCTTAAGGTCGGTGGCCTCTCCAAGACTGAGAAGTGTCTTCCTTAGTCTGTCGCAGTCTCGGTCCAAGTGATCGATGGTCGACTTCATCTCACTCACAGCACGCTGAAGATGCTGTTCCTTGATGATACCATCTCCCTCCATCCTCTCTTTCTCTCGCTCGGCGCTGGAGAGCTCGTCATTTTTCTCAGCAAGTTGCTTCTCAAGAGTGGCACGCTGCTCGGCCCAAAGCTGCTCTTTCTCATGGAAGTGAGCTTCAAGCGCAGCAATCTTGTCATCGAGGTCCTTGGCAGCAGCGGCGACCTTCTCGTCATGGGATTTTCGTAGAGAGTCCAATTCGCCTGCGTGGCCTTCACGAAGTCCATCTGACTCCGAAGCGTGTTTCTGGTGCAGTTCTTCTATTTCCTTTCGTGACGCTTCGAGTTCGGCTAACTTAGCTGCCAATTCCTCGCGTGTCGATGTGAGCGCACTCAGTTGGTTTCCCAATTCGGTCTCCTTGGACTCCAAGTCCGCGATCTTGGACGACAGTTCCGTCTTGATCGCTTCCAGCTCGGTACGCTGGGCCTCCAAGGACTCTTGCATGGTCGATCTCTCCTTCTCCCACTCGCCCTTGGCGGCTTCCTGTTCACTGCGAAGCTCTCGCTCACGGGTCTCGAGGTTCTCCGCTGCAATCTTCTCATCCTCATTCTTGATTTCTTCGAACAGCTCAGTAAGCTCTTGCTTCTGTGCTACAAGAGCCTTTTCCTGTTCTTCTTTCTGGTTCTCCAGCTCTTTCTCGTGAGTCTCCTTTGCCTCTTGAATGTCGGTGTTCAGTTGCGCAATCTGCCCTTCGAGTTGGACCTTAGTCTGAGTAAGTTCCTCGTTTGACTTCTGGTGAACAGCCAAACCATCCTCGAGATCTTTCTGCTTCTCTTGTAGATTTCCGAGTTCCAGTCGTAATTCATTGATCGTGTTCTTGAGTCTGGATCCATCTTCAGCGCTTTGGTTTGCAGTCTTCTTCATTTGGGACTGCAAGGCTTCGATATAGTACTCCTTATGCATCAAAGCCTGTTCGTGTTGGTTCCCAATCTGCTTTATCTCCGCCTCGCGGGTTGACAGCTTGCTATGGGTGTTACGGAACCCATGCAGGAGGCGGTTGATATCCGGTATGGCAGACTGGATCCGTTGAAGAAGTTCGAGATGCTCACTGTCACTGTCTGGGGGAGACAAGGCTCCGTTCTCCCCAGGCTGACCGGCCATTGACAAATTTTGGAGGGCCTGGTATGAGGCCGCGTAAGATGGGTCCGGAATACTGTAGCTTCGCTGCATGTAGTGCGGATCGTGAGAATAGTGAGGAGAGTACTGTCCATATGGAGGGATGGCTCCAGCAGAGCTCATCACCGGTGAGTTGACAGAAGCTGAGCGGCTTGGGGCCACAGAAGGAGCCACAGAAGGGGGCGCGGGAGGAGCCACAGAAGGGGGTGCGGGAGGAGCCATTGGTGCGGATGGGGGAGGTGGTGTTGCAGTTGGGGACATGTTTGGTGATTTATAGCGGTAATGGGAACGTGCAAGGGGACTGCTGACTTTGGGCACCGGTGAAGCAGTGTAGGGTACCGGAGAGGCGTAAGCTGTTGGGGATCCGGCGAAGGGAGAGCCGGCGTAGGGGGAGCCAGCGTATGCAGAGCCAGCGTATGCAGATCCAGCGTATGCAGAACCAGCGTAAGGAGACCCAAGGTAGGGCACAGGTGAAGTGTAAGGCACTGGGGAGGCAGTGTAGGGTACTTGAGAGGCGTATAGCGCAGGTGAGCCGTAAGCCGCTTGAGGGTTGTACGGCACTGGAGAAGAGTAGGGGATTGGAGAGGCGTATGGGACAGGCGAAGAGTATGGAATAGGTGCAGCGTAGGGTGAATACGCGGATGGTGCAGGTTGATATAAGTAGTTATCCTGAGAGGGACTTGACATAAACCGTGCTTCAGTTAAAGACGGCGATGGCAAGGGCACACTGGCCGCAACGGGAGAAAATGGATCAGCTGGTGGTGCTGAAACTAGTGGTTCAGAGGCCTCGACTTGCTTGCTTGGGTCATCCAAAGGCCCGTCGTCTTTGGCTTCTGTGTCGTCGGCGGGAGGCTGGAACGAGGTTGCCTCACCCAAAGGCGGCACACTCTCGTCAAGCTTGTCGGCCTCGGCTTTAGGAGACGGTTGATCCGTGGTAGGGTCTGAGATGGCCAACGGCACAGTCTCAGCCACAGGGGATTGTTGGTTGGAGACAGAGTTTGGGATAGCTGGTGCCTGTTGGTCAACCACAGGGGCTTGTTGGGTTGGAACAGGGTCTGAAGCGACCGGGGCCACAGTCTTAACCACAGGGGATTGTTGACTCGTGACAGGGTCAGAGATAAGAGGCTCGTCGTCGTCGTCGAATACCTCGTAAGCTGACACCGGCAAGGGCGTCTTTATCTCAGGAGAATGGGCAATAGCAGGCTCAGGGCCTTGGTCAGTTTCCTGCGCCGGAAGTTCAGGGCTGCCAGGAGTGGGAGTGTTTGTAGTTGTCTCTGCGACATCAGGGCTCTGTGCCTTCTTAACCTTCTTCGCATTGGCCTTGGCCTTGTCTTTGGCCTTAGTCTTCTTGCCCGCGACCATCGCGGATGAGTGATGCGTGCCCAAGAATGCTTGAAAATGCGAGACGTGAGAGACGTGTTACCAATGGGAGCAATTGGCTAAATCGAGCATGAGCAATAGTCAGATGTTTCATGGGGTGACTGTACGTTTGCAACCAGCCCTGGCGATGCCTCAAGATATAGCCCAAAGGTCTATAGTTGGGAGAGGAAGTGAGATTCCCCAGAATAATTAATAGCGAAAGCCAAGTGGCCGGGGATGCTGATCGGGCAGTGATTTGGAACTAAAGCGTGGACACAAATGAACCACAATAACAGATATGAGGCGAAATCAGAATTCTATTCTTGAACGCTGCAACGCACAGAAATAGGAAAGAATAAAAAAAAAAAATCTAGAGTCGAAAATTAGCACCCGAACGTTTGGCACAAAGGCGCGGACCGAACCTTGTACCCAGCAATGAAAGCGCAAAGAACGAAAGGGCACAAAGAATATCAAAATATTCAAATATCGAAAGATGGAAATAAGCAGAATATCCTAAACGCACCAAGATTCCATTCTGAACCGAAGCGAGAACCAGTTGGGGTGCGCCATGACATTGGGCATCAAGTGGGTTCGGGCTAAGATTCAGTAAGGCATGTGGGGATGAGCGAATATCTTTGGACATGTTCATTCGGGATATGATCATTCGAGATATGATTTGCATGAGTTAGCGATACATCACTGTATGTCGCCTGATTAGTACATAATGGGATGAAGGTGAGGCATTCTCCGGTAGATCAATTGACAACACAGCACATTACCAGATGAGGTTTCGAGCAGTTAGCCCATCCGGTTTCTATGCATACCTAGGCAATATTATTCTCTCACGCCGGCTTGACAAGCCCGACTGCATTCGGATTCTGAATTATTTTTGATCAGCCGGCCTCAGAACAGGGGGGACACAGCATGCGAATATGAGATTTGGGATTTGCGATGTGGGATGTGGGATTTGATCAAGGATCCCACACCAGGCAAGACTTGATGAGTATACTATCTGACAAAGAAGAAAATAACAAACATATGATATCTCGCAACAAAGATCTCCAACACACAGAGATGAAGTGACGAAGTATGAAACTCATTCACTTCCTGGTTCGCCCTAACCCCAAACGGCAAGTCACGTGTCATCGACTTTCGCTTTGCACCTCGCCCTATCATCGTTCCCCGAAGGGTCATCGACCACCACCAATTGTCCTCCTCCACAACATGTTCGCTGCCAGACGATCTGCCACCTCGACGCGGCAACTGCTGCGCACCCAGCGCCGCTGGGGCTCGCACGCCGCCCACGAGCCTGTGAACGAAGGCGTCGGCGTAAGCTCCCCCACCGACCGCGACCAGACTCGAACCTGGAGAGCGAGAGAGCAAAGTCTCAATTGCCACAGACACAAGAGCTAACAATTGCATTCACACTCCACAGCGCAGCTTCTACGTTACCGTTGGTTCCCTCGCCTCCGCTTACCTCCTCTACCGCGTTAGCCAGTCCAACCAGGACTCCGGCGCCCCGTCCTGGATCTCCGGCCTCATTAGCAAGTGGACACCATCGCAGGAGACTTTCGAGCAGCGCAATGCTATTCACACTGCTATTATGGAGAAGGCTGCTGAGGACCGCCACTTGCTTCAGAGTCAGGGTCCCCGCGAGGCTTATGAGTTGAAGCAGCCTGAGTATGTGACTGGTGGTTTTGCTGTTGGTTTTCCGGGCTGTTACTGACTTTTTTCCCTTGTAGTATGATGAACACCGGCTCACCGTACAACCTTGCCGCCGGTTCGCGGGTTGACCTCAGCCACGTTGTTGCTCACTACGAGCGCAAGAACCAGGAGATTGATGAGGCTCGGGCTGTGCGGATGAAGGATGGCAAGTCTCTCTATGATTAGAGGGGAGACTTCTCTCTTTTTTTTGGTTGTCTGCTCTAGACATGTGTGGAGGAAAAACATGTACATATACGTTAGGTCTTGACGTTCAATCCAGCATTTGATAATTGGATTTTCTTTTGTTTGAACTACACACCTATGAACTGGATATACACTTGAAGGTGGTGTAACTTGGGTATTTGATTTTATCAACGAGTTCCACTCCTCATGGCGCAGTAGACGGTACAACCTCAAGAACCACCCTACCAACCCCCTCAGAATGAACATCCAACTTCTGCTGAACATTCAACTCCCTTCCACAAACATTATCCAGCACAGCAAGGAACTCATCCACACCACCGCCAACACCGAAATAAACCTTCTTCGCCGCAACAAGAGCCCGGCTCCTAGTCGACGCAGTATTCGACCTACGCAGCAGCGCCAAAAGAGTCTCCGAAAACGCCGTCAACGAAGCCGGCGAGTAGATAGTCTCACTAGCAAGAACCAACGTCTTGCGAACAGCATCGCCAGACGAAAAGACCAAATCAACAAACTCAGCAGACCAAGCTCCAGAGACAAAATCCACCGAGATGCCACGGTTCGCAAGATCAGTCTTGAATTCTTCGATAAGTTCAGGCGTGATATCTAGCTCTTCTTCCTGGTCTGGTGCAGTAGATATGCTCGAAACAGCCGTTTGAGAGCGGCTATTTTGCCATGTCAGGAGAAGGTTAGGTAGTGTGACGAGGCGCAGAACGTCGGAGTTGTAGTCTGAAAAGGTGAAATGTGTTTTTCCTGTATTTTCAGTACCATTGAGAGTGCGGGCGAATAGAGTCAATGATGGGACTGCTGTGCCTGCGCCAAGCTATTTTTCATAGACATGATACGTCAGCAATCTGCACTTTGAAATGTTGGGGAGAAAAGGACGCGGCAACGAACCTCAATGATATGAGTTACTTGCAGTCCACCAGAGAAACCATTGAGAATATCCTCATCCAGTGAAAGCTTAGCCAGATCCAGCGCGCATTCCCACGTCTTGAACCCGCCCTCATAGAAATTGGGTTTGATGTCGCCTTTTTCTATGCCGGCAATTAGCTCTTCATTGTCGTGGCCGGCGCTGTCTTCGGCCATGAGCTGGGTGCGGATGTCGAAGATCTCTCGGCGGGCAATGACCACGGGTGTATCGCCGATTTTGAGTTTGTTGTATGAGATTTGAGAGGGTAGAATTGAGAGCTACAGTCATTGTTAGAATTTAGGTATTTCAGGAAGTTTTATGCATCTCAATGGTGTCAAAACATCTTTTTGGAGGGGTATATCGGGATATCCTGTGGACCGATATGAGGGTTGGAATAGAATATACTTGTTGACTCAATTCCTTCAGAAATGCAAAGGAACATGTAATGCATTGCCAGTGGATAGCTATATGGATTGTTCACTTACCCATTCGTTCATGTCATGTTTACTCGCTCTCACCAGCTCCGGCAGGGAGTTGCCGACATTCTGCTGAGAGAGGACAGGGCAGATATCATTATTGATCTCTGAATCATCGATGTCAATGTCGTCTCCTGAGAATCCAAAGCTGAAGGCCATGTTGTCTCAGTTCAATGTTATCTCCGTACAAGAGACAATAGTGTGTAGAGGGTCGTCCTGGTTGTCGTGAACGCTGTTGAATGCTCAAGATAGCAGAGCAACGAGACACTGCACTAGACTTATATAAGCTCTGAATCCAAGCAAACGATCGACGAGGATTTGGATGTATCAACGACGTCGTGGTTCGATCTCCATAATCTCCATACAAAAAATTGCAGTGGGCGATGTGATGACTAAGCTCGACTGCCCGCACCAATTTCATCATGAATTCTGGCGTGAAGACTAGAAACATATCGATTGTTTTTTAATGTATAGCTTGTCTATTTTTGGACTTTCGGCTACAATATATCAAGAAAATAGGCAGTCATAACGCAAGGGGAATGTATTCTCATAATTCATATCGAAGTAACCAGCAGCAATGCAGTCTACATGCAAGTCTAGATTATTTTGAAAGCAAGCCAAAGATTGAAAGCAGATTAAGAGCTGCCATTCTTCTCTGCAGCAGCAACAGCCAGATCCAAAGCTTGCAACACATCAGCGTGCAAATCAATGGAGTCCTCAATACCACAGCTCATGCGAACAAGGTCATCAAAGACACCGGCAGTCTCACGCTGGTCCCTGGGAATACCAGCGTGGGTCATTGCAGCAGGAACCTCACACAAACTCTCAACACCCCCCAGGCTCTCGGCGAGGGTGAAGACCTTAGTGTACTGGCAGAAAAGGTGCGCGGCCTTCTCGCCACCCTTGATGCGGAAGCTGAGCATGCCACCGCCCATTCCATCGCGATGTTGCTTAACAGCGATCTTGCGCTGCGGGTGAGAGTCAATGCCAGGGTAGTTGACGGAGATGACGTGGGGAGAGGCTTCGAGCGCCTTTGCGACCACTGTGGCGTTCTTGGTGGCCTCGCGGGCGCGCAAGTGAAGGGTCTTCAGACCGCGGTGGGCGAGCCAGCAGTCGAATGGCGAGGGGACGGCGCCGATGGCGTTCTGGAGGAAGCCGAGGCGCTCCTTCAGGCTCTCTGAGCTGAATGCGGCTACGCCCATGCAGACATCCTGGATTTGGGTTAGATTTGATACGATAGTGAACGAGGTCGTGCAGGCAAACATACCGAGTGGCCGTTAATGTACTTGGTCACGGAGTGAACAACAATGTCGGCACCGTGGTCGAGGGGGTTCTGGACATAGGGGCTCATAAAGGTGTTGTCGACAACAACGAGAATACCACGTTGGTGGGCAATATCGGCAATAAATCTGATATCGACCAAGCCAAGGGTGGGGTTGGAGGGAGTTTCGATCCAAATGAGTTTAGTTTCGCGGCGGATCAATTGCTCGACCTCCTGCTCAACGCAAGGCGAGAAAGAGACATCGACACCGTGCGCGGCGGCAACCTTGGTGAAGTAACGGTGAGTGCCGCCGTACACATCAGAAACGGAGACGACGTGCGAGCCAGCGGCCAGAGACTGGAGAACGACCGCAGTAGTGGCGGAGCCTGAGGAGAATGCGAGAGCATATTTAGCATGCTCGAGGGCAGCAATGGCTTCCTCGAAGTTGTCACTTTTGCGGCATTAGTCGGTGTGCTGAACCTCGGAACTTAGAAACTTACCGGTTGGGGTTAGAGCTGCGAGTGTACTCGTAGGCACCAACGGGGTTTCCAACACTAGTCTGAGCATAGGTGGTCGACAGAGAGATCTGTTGCTTGTCAGTACGCCTTCTTTGTGAGGCTCTATCGACGGACTTACCGGGGCAATGACAGCGCCAGTCGAGGGGTCGTGAGGTGCACCAGCGTGCACAGCCAGAGTGCCGAACTGGCGATCGACAGAGTGTCCGTTTTCCGTAGAGCCCATTGTGTAAGTGAGTGCAATTGAGAGGAAATCAAGAGTGGCGGTAATAGACACTTTTTGTAGTAACCTCCGTCCTAATTTAGACTCCGGATGCGTTGATTGCTAATCAAGGGCGAGGATGACGAGATCCGGGAGATTCGGGAAGAAAGAATGATTTGTCCCTGAAAATTTAACAGGAAAAAACTCCTACAATGAAAACACGGATTCTCTTACTTGAAGGCGAGATCGATCGCGCTACTGCGACTGGGCAGCGCTGACTCGGAGCTCCACCGGTCGCCGCTATTTTGTCGGAGAACGAGGGAATACGCCGATCCGTCGGAGTGTCGGAGTTTCACCATTAACCTCCATGTTTATGTTTAATAAGTTATAGTTATTCTCTCTCGGGTCTTTCATTTAGGATTTATTACTCTTATATTACTTTATACCTTGCACTTTACTATTTGCTGGTTTTACTCCTACATTCTACTATTTCCGCATTTGTTTATATTGCAATTACACTGAATACACTGAACTTCACTGGCATTATGGGTATCTGATCTGACTAAAGAAATTGTATGGGCGCTCAGTGCCATGATAGACACAGTCTGAGGGTAGCAAAATACACATCTACCACCAGGTAATAGGTCCAGTTCCACCCATTTGCATCGAGCCCTAGAAGTGGTCAGCAAAGCAACGGGCATGCATGAAAGGAAAACCAACAAGAATGGAATATGGAGGCCGCCTCTCTGTAGGAGTTTCATCGCCAAGATCTGGCGCGTTGGGGATCTGATCGTGCCACTCTTCTGATTCAATACGGAACCGGACTACTTCTCCCACATCGAAGAAGAATTCTGTTCCGTCTTCGTTCTCCCAAATCCAGACTTGCTCTGCATAGTCACTATCAGAATGTTAGTGTATTGCAATTCCACAGTGGAGGAGCTTCTCACAATCGGGACTTTTCCATAAGCATCTGCGGTGGAATGAGGATATCGTTGAAGAATTCCAGGCCGACTATCGATATATTAGTCGTGTAGTTGGAGTGTGAATGCTTGAAACATACTCTTAATACCGTGCTCTGTGCCGCTGGCAATCTTTCCTAGCATGATCTCGCCCTTGAAGGGTCGGAAAACGATCATCCGGAATTTGACTGGACTGGTTAGTGACAATCTTGAGATCGAACCAATATATCTTACCATTTACGTTAACCAGGCCAGTCCCATGGCCAATTAGACCATCCGAAGACTCCAGTAGGTCATAGAAGCTGATGCAGAGGCCGATTTTTTGGATTACCTAGGTCAATGTGAGCAGATGCCAGCATCTGAGAACAGAATCGCATACCTTATTGGCATATTTCTCATTGATGTTGTCTTCAATAGCCACAGCACTGAATTTAGAAAAGTCCTCGGGTGATATCTGGATCAAGTCCGAGATGGTAGTCTGCCGCCGTTAGCCACCGATTTTATACATGTGCGCGAGACTCACTAGGATGAACATGACGAATACACCAGGAACAAAGGACCAAAGCTGGATATTCAGGTGAAGATCTTCCTTGAATCGACGTTGTACTCCGAGCAAAAAGCTTTTGACATTCAGTGGGGAACCACGTGACCGCCTTGAAAAGCTTCCGCAGCAACTTCTCTCGACTTTTTATTTCCACGCGCATTCTGAGATTGCGCTGGGACCTCTGGAAGGTCTTCAGGCTTTCATCATGAGTTCTCAGGGGTTTTCATTTCCGCCCCCTCCGCCACCACCACCGGCAGCAGCCCAGTCTGCTTATCCGGCCCAGGGACAGCATGGGCATGGACAGCAACATGGTCAGAACTGGGGACGAGGAGGTCATCGAGGCCGGGGACGAGGACAAGGACAAGGGAATCGAGGCCGTGGAGGGCATTATCAGGAAGGAGGACGGCCACCATATCCTAATACCGGCTACAACTATTCATCCAACTATGCCTATCCAGCTCCGTCCGTCCCTGCATCACCATACATGCCTCCCCCGCCATATCCTGGGCAATCGCAAGGTTTTCAAAATCCTCAAAATCAACCCGCATACCCACCGCAATTTCCGCAGACGCCAGGAACCTACCAGCAACTACCATACAATACGCCGAACATACCTCAGCCCTATCCCCCGACTCCAACATATATGACCGGTCTTCCGGCGCCTTCTCACGGCGCTCCGGCCAACCCAGCAATGATGGGATCTTTGCCCTGGAACCCCGAATTACCAGGCCCCGCGGGGTATATGCCAGGTCAACCACAGGCCCGAGGCCCACGCCCTCCCCATGCACTCAACGGACACAACGGACCTAAACCGAAACAAGCCCATAAGCGTGATCACTCATCTGCGTTCAGCAAACACTCCGCACCTCGAACCCCCGCAGCACCCGCTGTCCCAAGTTTCGGAAACCCTCTCCCATCGAAGCCACCGCCAGCGGCAGACGCGAATGGAAATAATCGCAAGCAGAAGAAGAGGAAGCGGAAGCACAACCAGCTGGGGCTGACCCCCAAGACTGAGGACCACGAATCCAGCGAGGATGACGAGGATGCGGATGAAGAATCCAAGCTAGCACCAGGCGACTCGGACGCTGCGCCCCTTCAATTTTCCTACAGAGGTCAAACAGCTACGCTACAAACGCCATCGGAGATCGCTGCTTGGATCGCAGAACGAAAGAAGAAGTTCCCGACCAAGGCCCGGGTTGAGGAAAAGCAAAAAGTAGCGGACGAGGCAAAGGCGACCCGTGAAGCTGCCCGTCAGCAAAAGTACAATGAACAGCAGGCGAAGCGAAATGCTGATCGCAAGCAAGGCGATAATAATACAGACTCGCCTAATAAGGCGGATAATCAGCGTAGGGCTGACAAGATTCAGCGCAACCTGGATCGGGAGCAGAAGCGGATCGCCAAAGCAATCGCCGAGGCTGAGGCGGCTCGTGTTCGGTTTGAAGCGCTCCAAAAGGAAGCCCTAAGTCTGAGTTCGGCAGCTCAGGGTTCAGCCGACATCAAAGCGGAGCCGCATGATTTGCCTCCAATTCCGAATGAGCCTCCAATTCCAGAGTCTCCATCGGGGCCCCACGCGACAGAGGCGGATGCGGAAGACTCGGAACAAATCATCAAAATTGAGGATCTCCCAGATGGCGACGATATGGACATGTCCGGCAGCGACTGGACCTCCTCGAGCGGTTCAGAAGCTGATTCGGATTCCGAATCCGACAGCGACTCGGCGCCAGAGCAGGTCAGCTCACGTCGCACTGGCCCAGAGAGAGTCGCCCCGCCGCCCCGTGAAGGGAAGAAGACCACCTGCCGCTACTTTGCGCGCACCGGCCAGTGTAACCGCGGCGACCAATGCAAATTCCTTCATGAGACACCTGAACGAGGCCCGAAACCCAAGGCTGAAAAGAAGGAGAAAGGACGCAAGGGACTATACCAAGCCGTGAGTACTTCCTCTTTCTGTTTTTGGTTTTGATAGAAATTATTCTAACATGAAATCAGCTACTGGACCGACAAAAACAAGACGAAGACCACCGAGCTATGGAAGTGATCTCCTGGCTTGGACAAAACAATATGCTTGCGCCTCCCGATACCCTAAAGCAATGAATATACGCAAGGACTAATCCCGAGAAGTCGGGGGTTTGGTCTGATTTAGAACTTGCATGAATAGCCGAACATGAGTCGCGTGGCCCCTGCAGGTCAATTACAGCCCAGAGACCAGAGAAGGTGTTTCTTCGCCCCCAAGCCTAGATTTTCTGTCTTCGTATCTGTCCAATCATAAAGGTGGCAGCCTTCAGCTAATTTTAGCGGTATTTCGGACGAGTCCTTCCAAATCTTGGGGCGTTTTTAGCGCGAAGTAAAGAGGAATTGTAGCCGAAGTAGGCCGGTAGTGGAGAGGAAGTCCGTCGGTGCACCAGTCAGCCGAGGAGATTCCCTGCCAAGCGAGGAAACCAAAGCCGTTAGTGGCCACAGACCTGCAAGCTCGTGGATCTCCGCCACGAGAGAGTTGGGGTGACAACCAATCGCTGTACCTTGCATTTGACGCTATTTGTTTTCTTGTCTCTTTTGGGTTTTGGAAGTCCCTTAGTCTCCTGCTAACAAACCATGGACTCGCTCTTATAACGCTAACCTCCGCTTGCGCCTCATTTTCGGCTCTGTCTTCCATTTGCCTCTTAAACTTCGCCTTCCCTTCCTTTAAGGCTCTGATTTCCGCTTTTTCACTCTTTTACTCTTTTATCTGCACATAGACCTTTCCCGTCTTTACATAGCATCTCATCACCATGCGTTTCTTCAATTCCTTCGCCGTCGCCGCTCTGGCCGCCATCGCCTCTGCTTCCAGCACGGACAACTCCTTCAACATTCCCACCAATGGCTACACCTTCAAGGTTGGCGAGCCCACCACTCTGACCTGGACTCCCTCCACCAGCGGCACCGTCACTCTGCGCCTGCAGTGGGGAGCCGTGACAACCGCCAACTCCGGTAGTGTCATCGCCTCCAACATCGCCAACGACGGCAGCTACACCTGGGATGTGCCCTCCAACCTGGCCGCCCAGCCCGACTACACCATCGAGATTATCTCCGACGACAACGACAACGACTACAACTTCCTGCCCCGCTTCACTGTCGAGGGCTCGACCGTCTCCGTCTCTACCTCCACCGCCAGCAAGACCTCCAGCACCTCGTCTGAGTCTACCAGCTCCGCCACCCCTACCACCACCATGACCACCTCGGAGTCCTCCAGCTCCGCCTCCACCAGCTCCCAGACTACCATGGCCACCTCCAGCTCCGCTGCCAGCACCTCCGCTAGCACCACCGACAGCTCTAGCTCCAGCACTGCCTCCTCCACCAGCGCCAGCTCCAGCGCCGCCAGCTCCTCGGCCTCCCAGTCCGCCGTGCCCACCACCAACGCCGGTGTCGCTAACCGCGTCTCTGGTGGCCTCCTGGCCGCTGTCGCTGGTGCCATCGCCATGCTGTAAATTGATCCCATGTCAGACCATGTCCATGTCCATGTCTCGGCACATTTCCATTGCCATTTATTGATAATATTTTCTTTTCTTGGACGCTGTACCTGAAACAGCTCTTCCCTTTTGCCTCGGCTGCCATTGGCATATTGTACAAAATACCACCCCGATAACTGGTCGGGCTTTCGGTTATTGTGATTATTAGTTTTTCTTTTTATGTTTATGCTTAGGCTAAGCGTGTTCATTATGATAATTTTTTGGAATATCCCTTGAATCTACGAATGCTTTATTTCCGGCCCCTTTCCCATCACTCGGATGCGTACTTTGTACTTTACGTCCCGTGTTTGGAGCCCTTTCGACGTCCTTGAATTTAACTGCCGAGGACTGAGCGTATTTTTCCCCTCTGATCGACAAGCGAGACTGGTGGGACTCGGAGATAATCATTGGGATCGTCCTGTCCACTTTTTCTGTGTACAGTAGGGTGCTCGGCTATCCGGGCCTTCCGCTAATGTCCAGTGGGATGCATTGTTGTCCTTACAGTTTATGTGTATGTGATGTCCAATGTAACAAGGGGTCCAATAGCCTCTTACCAGTAAGGGGCCAATCTTGGGGTTCAAGTTCTTGTAAATGATGATCAGCCGGGTGTGGAGTCCAACGGCTTAGTGTCATCTCCTTTTTATCTTACAGTAGGGCAGTTGTGGGTTTGTGGAATTTAGCGTATTTGGATTTCATTCTATCTTGTTTATCTTATGGATGCCGATTCAATTCCCGAGACAAGTAACAATGTAATGGGCATGCAGACTCATCTGCGCCTACACTAGCAAGTAGTTAACACTTGTCTTATTCATGTCTTGCTAAGACGCTGTGACTCTAAACCCATGACTTCCCCTAACTCGATAAAATCCCAATACACACCTCCGAACAACGTTTCAGGCATATCATTGCAATCCAGACCACCACTCATGCGTCTTCAGGGTTTTCAGGGTTCAATTCATAAGAAATACGAGGAGTCTAGGCACCCATGCTACTCAACCCCCTAGCATCCAACCCCAGTAACATACATCTCCACACCGCACAAGCGCAACACGAACATACAGTACATGTAGAAACCCGACAAACAGGAATAGAACAAAACCAAAACAATATATGACCTCACACCAAGAATATCCCCGAACCCCATAAAACCCCAATCCCACGCAAGGGCCAAATCGACGATCGGAGTTCGCTCGTGTCGGGAGCAAGGGCGCTGCAGCACACTATACCATACACCAAGATCACCCCCATCATGAATAACCGAATTATCGAATCAAAAGCATCGAATGACACCAGGTCTCTCTGATGCATCGCCCAAGGGCTCTCTCATGTATCTCAGCCCTTGACAAAGCACCAAAGCACCAGAAAAATATGACTGCCTACATGTACATGTGAGATATGCGGAAACCGAGTCCTTCTCTGCGAAAGCTGAATGGCTCCATGCCTCACTTGCCAGTGATGACAGCTCTGTTCATAATGATCGACGGTTTCTTGGCTGCAGGAGCGCCGGGCTTCCGAGTTCATGGTGCAAATTTCATTGCAGGGCTCTTTTCTATGTACTGTACATTTGCGTTTACTTTACATGGTCGATGGGGGTATTTGGGGATGTATAAAGAGGCCGAGGAATCCCACCCAGACCTAGATGATCTTGGTCTTGAGCAGTGGATTTCATTGTGTCGATCTGGTTGAAGAAACTACAGGTATAGATCTTCTCTATACATATTGTACTGTCGACAATCTCCACCATGCCATCCACCAGCTTCTTCGTCGCGTCAGCTGCGGCCCTCGCTGCCTTCGCTGGCCTGGCCAATGCCCAAACCAATATCACAGACAATGCCTGTGCCTCGTCGTCCGAGTATAAGAAGTGCAACTCAGACGTCTCGAGCAAATGGAGTTCCTGCATTCGCGATTGCAATGGTGATGGCAATTGTATCGTGGACTGTGGTTGTACTTCTCATCAGAAGTATATCAATTGTATGGCTGAGACGTGCTGGAACCAGGTATGTACATACCTCCTCCCACCTACGTTCATACCGAAAGCCTCCCATGCTAATCCCTCTTCCATTCAGGTCTACTCCTGTGAATACCAACTCTTCGTCCAACAATACTTCGCCATCTGCCCCAGCGCCTCAGAGCCAATCCCCTTCTGGCCAGCCCCGGACAACGCGCCGAACCGCTGTTCCTGCGATCTGGGCAAGGTACTGCAGACGACGCTGTCCTCGCGCAATGACCAGGTCCAGTGTATGAGGAACGTCACCGATAGGATCCGTTCTGATGTGACTGATCTGTCGAATCTGAGTAATGGACTCGACATTGCGGGTCAGGCAACGGATTGTGCATGTTGTGGTGCTAGTGCTAGTATCTCTGCGTATGTCACCAACCCCAAACCCAAGCATCCAACTAGCCCTAACCTCCGCCATTTATTCATTCAAAAATAACACTAACACTCCAACAGCGCCTACGAGATCTGCCCAGACACAAAACCAACCCTAGCAGGTGCAGACCTCTGGCCAATTTTCTTCCCGGCAGACCTACCAAACCTCTACACCTCCCTCCCAAACTGGAACTGGGCCTGGCCGTCCTGCGACTCAAAACTGGATGACGCATCCTGCCAAGACCTCGGCTTCAAAGACGCAGACAAGTTCTACAAGCCAGGCGATTTCCCAAACAACGGTACCTCTACGCTGCATAATGTTGGCGGGACTGTTACCGCGCCGCCTAGTGGGACTGTTCTTACCTGGTCCCAGTCTAGTACTACTTACACTGTTACTGCTACTGGGTATGATCAGAAGGCTGTTGCTAGTCAGAGTGAGTATCGGGCTACGGCTACGGAGACGGGGGATGCTTTTGCTACGCAGACTGATACTAATGGTGCCGGGGGTTTGAGGCCTTTTGGGGTTTTGGGGGTTTCTATGGTGTTGGCTTTGGGGTTTGTTTTGTAATTGGGGCTTGATTGATTTTGGGATGGGATTGGATTGGATAGGACGGGTTGTGCTGGGGTGGGTGGTGATTTGATGTTTTATTGATATACTCATGTATATGTTTACGACTATGTTCATGAGGCGGTATGATGTGGCTGCTTTGCATATTATCACAAATCAACTTGAATATGACCCTGGATAATACTAATTATGATCAATGTGAGGGGTGTACTTACTTTTTTTGCGTTTAATGCACCACAACGCTAGGTGACGGTATATTGGGCGCTGAAAACAGCTAGTTTTGACGCCTTTTTAAGGGAATAGTTATGCGGACATGACGCGATCCCAGTTAGGAACAATGAGTGATTGTATTACACCACTTATAACATGCCCTAATATTGAAGTTAAGCCTAAGTACGAACACAATCATTTGAGTGACTCTAAGACCGGCCGTCCCCACGGATACGCAGCCCGGTTAGACAGTAGATATTTCTCCCTTGGAGGGGACCACTGGAATTTTGGGAAAAACGCTCAAGGATGACTCACAATTAACTGATAGATTTAACCTTAGGTTATAGTGCAATATAATCACTAGGATAACGTTATGTCCGTATAACCATTCTTAGGTCCGATTGTAATTCCCCAATGGGCATTCAGTATAAGACTTTAGATTCTCCGATCCTAAGCATGAGTAATCCTTGAATAGGCATTGGCTGACTCTTTCGCACAACCGCTTAGGTGATCGCTCTATATGCTGGACACGCATTGTGGTGGTCGGATGACTACTCTCCGCCGCTTTCGTCGCCGTTGATTTTCTCTCGAACGACAACCCGGTTTCGCGGTCTCAGTTGCTAACGTTGTTCGGTAGTAAATGATGAATTCAGTGCCCTAACACCAGTGGAACATTAGACTCATGGGGGTCGGAGTCGCCTTGTTCTGACTCTCACGGTGCATGACAATGTCTTTCTTCTCCGTAGCATCCGGTCTGCAAACGGAAATCAACACGAGCCATCTGCGCCTCTTGCTTCACACAATGACGGCTCTAAGTGCTTGTCGCGCCTCGATCGTCAGCCAGTCTGGGCTCACTTTTCTCATGCATTAGTTGGTCGCACGTAGAATTCGGTTATAGTCTCAGATGAACACAGCAGACCACTGTTTGGTTCAAGCCTGAGCTTACTTGTTATCGACCAAATAAACTAACTCTGCGAACTGTCGTAGGAGTCTGGCCTATGCTGGAACATCTGAAGTCCCTTTATTCTTCTCTTGATGAAACAGGAATCTTGTAATTCGCTAAATCGGATTAGCCGATTTTTACCGAATATCTTGCAGCTCGATTTTCAAGTTACATATTATTGCATATCTCCGTGTTGCTTCCATTTTTAGAATAGAACTTAGGTGAGACTAGGCTAGATTATAATCTTATAATTATACGAAGTACGTTTTTTTACTGCCAATCAAAAGACTGAACTTTATAAGTTAGCCTAGAATTGTCCATTTTTTTTTTAGCGCTCGTTCAAGAGCTTATTCATTACATATAAATATATCATTATATCAGACTTTAGCCATTAGCGCAGGCTCTATCTCATGATACCTTTTTGTCTCATGTCATTTTTCCCACGCCGTGCAACTTTCATGGTCTAGAGTCATATCAATTAGCATCATATACTTCTGGTTTCCAATTTTGCTATTGGTGGATGAGCCGGGTAATTTTCTGTGTTTGTGGTTCGGGGGAGGTCCGCGTGTACTATGCTTAATTCATCCATTACACTGAGCAACAGCCATATGGCGCGGAAGTCAAAGATGGATGAATCATTACAGCTGATAAACGCATCATACTGGCGTAGCCTGCTCTGCTACTCATATGCCCATTATATAAACCTGGTTCCAGAAGGGTATGTCGCTTGATTAATTCATTTGTGTACAATATACCATACAAACTGTCAATTCGACAATTTGCGAACATGAAGTTAATTCCACTCTTGATCTCCGTGCTACCAGGACTAGCACAACACGTGAACCAAGCTGTCCTTAAAGATCCAAAGCCCGAGGTCAGCAATTGCAATGCAAATCAACACGTGAACCAAGCTATCCTTAAAGATCCAAAGCCCGAGGTCAGCAATTGCAAGGCAAATCAGATTTGGTCAATGACAGTCCCGCGTGATTGCAACTGTTCCAGCGGCAGAACCGATTGTACACCATTGGAATATAAATGTACAAACCCCGACAGAATAATACATCCGAAAAGCGGACTGAATATGACAACTGCTTCTGGTCCATGCTTTTATGACGAAAATGCTTCATGCAATTCCTGCTATGTCTGGTTCCGTGACCTATGTTCGTGCATACAGAATTTGCTATACTCCCACCCCACCAACTGCAAGAACAGTAGTGCTCTCAATTCGAAAATCCCAGTTTGGATGCTGCTTGAAAGCCAGAGCCTGATTACCACAAATCTGCCGATATACGGGATTGAAGACCTGCATGTTGCCGACCCTTATGCGGATGATGGCTGGCTTTGGGGTCAGAAACACTACAACAGGAGTACACAAGCACTGGCTATGAACTCAAAGGCGTCAAGGACTCAAGAGCAGATCCACATACATGTGTGCGATATTAAAAATCAACCATGTAATCAAAGTGGCAGAACTCGTGACATACTGTCATGCCTCAGTCGTGATACCCCGAGTCGTGATTACTATAAGTCCATGAAACCGGTAATCTTAATGCCTGGTGATACGAAATGCAAGGTGGCAGATAAGCAAGGCAGCCCTATTAACATAGCAGAGGATATCAAACGGGAGATGCAGAAGAAAGATTGCAAAGTCTATACTGGAGCGGGGATCATAACGGACAGCAATAATTATACCTGGGCGTGCGTGACTGATAGCCCGCAGGCTGCCGAATGGATATATTGTAACTAGCACAGAGGATGACTGGCAGGGTGAAACTCCCATCTTATCAAATATCCTCTTAGCTTCAGCGAACAATGTACCCCTGTATGTGTCCTTTCGTTTGATACTCCTCCTTCCGGTTATAATTTTGTGATAATGTTTGTGCTATTCAACTCTGGTTTGTGTTAGAGCAAAAATGAACCACGTATTTGCAGCTATCCACCGTTCCAACACTATAAGAGTTCCTGACACAATCGCTTCTATCTTGTAAGTCATCTCGCAAGTCAACGTTCCTATGGGCTTCGTGGGTCAGTTATGCAGCACCGAAGAATCTTGCTTTGGGTGCAACTTTCTGGCAGAAGCTTGATCATTGATTATTGAGCCCGCTGAAAAGCCGGAGAATGTGTACGGAAAAAGAGAATTGAGCTGCTTCAAGAAAAAGAGAACGGCCAATGGAATCCCTTGTGCAGCAGAAACTGGAAGACACGAAGAAAAAGGTCCTGGCGTGGGCGCCCGATGAGTAGCCCCCAACCAAACATTCTATAGAGATTTACAGTATTTTATGTTGAAGTGAAGGGATGTTGAAGCGTATCTATTACTGTTTCGTTTCTAAGGATAGAACTAGAAAGTAAAGACAACGGGCGGATAGATGTAAGAATGATCTCCATCGCAGACTGCAAAGCAGTTAGAAACACAAAGGAACCCCGAAAAACGCCACCAAACACCACAGGTATTAATACCAGACGCTGAATCATAGCCTATCAAAGGAACATAGGCTTGCACAAGGAAGTAAGGAGTGATAGTCCACAAATGCAAACAAAAAATCACCAGGTTGGGACAACCCTCTTCAAAAACTTCATAAACTTAAAGAACCCGACGGCATACTCGACATTCCCAAGCGGATCAACAACCCTCTCAGGGAAAGCAATACCAGCCCCAAACAACCCCGGAACATCCGCCCCACCAGTCTGATGGAACCGGCCATTCCCATGATCAAACTCAATAGCAAGCGGCGCCCCATCCTTCGCCAACTGCGGCAACGGATCACGAGTATACCCCACAGCCTGAACAATATAATCACAACCAGGCAAATGACGGCGATACATCTCCCCTTCGGCTTCACGCCCGCCCGCACAATCGATCTTGGTAACGACTTTGCCGGCAGGCGAGGTCGCAAGTTTATCATCTTCGAGTTGAGTGCGCGCGAACTCAGCCGCCATCCCCTTTAACCCCGTGTTATCGCGGAGGATCCAGCCGTCTTTGTATTCCGCGTAGCGGAGCGGGTGGCGGGTGAACCATTTCACGCGGAGGTTTGGGTGGGATGTATTGTGGAGATTGATTAGGTTTAGGAGGGCCAGGATTGCGCTGTGAGAGGCGCCGACGACGGCTGTTGTGAGGGGGACGTCCTGGCGGAGAGTTTTGGCAAGGGCGCTTGGTTTCAGCACCAGGTCTAGGTCCAGACGCTGGAGGGATGGGTCTTGGATTGGGAGGGGCACTGTTGTTGGGTGGGAGCCTGTGCAGAGGATTAAGCGGACTGTTTCGAATTGTAGTTCGGTTGGTGAGTCTTGTTGTGTTATGCGGATTGTCCAGGTTGGGCTGCCGGATCCTTCGCTTAGGTTTGCTGCTGAGACGAAGCCGCGGCAGGCGTATACGTCGTCCATTTTCTTGAGGCCGTCTGTTAGACCGCGGACCATGTCGGCTGCGTAGTGGAGATGGCATGTCTTGTCTTGGTCTAGCTTTGCTAGGGCTGAGAAGGCATTTGGTAGGCTTGTGTTCTCGATTGCCTTTTGGAAGGGCTGGGTTGCTGTTGCGTAGGCTTGGAATAGAGACACCTTGGTGTTGCTGGAGGTTGGCTTGTTAGTACCCTTTGCGGTGAGTCCTGGTAGTCTGATACCAACCTTGGGACTTCGCGATAGTTCTTATTGACTCTGCCACCTTCGAAGTATGGGTCGATCCATGCTATCATGCCTAGTTGGCGTTCCAGCAGGTTTCCGACAACAGCGACGCCGGCCGGACCAGCTCCCACGACCACCGCGGCGCATTTCCGAGATGCCATATTGAGAAATGAGTGATCAGAGATTGAATATCAAAAAAAGAAAAGAAAGCCAAGCTTGTAGCGAGTGAAATGGATAAACAACGTTCATTCGATCTAAATAGGATAATGGATCGCCGATTGAAATGTATCGCCGACTCAATCGGCGATGAGGGGGAAGGGGTAAACAGCCAAGAACGGCCCTTCCGCAAAGAATGCGTCAGGCTTCTCGATCATCATCAGCGGTGCAGATAACGCAACCAGCATCCAGTCGGGTCGTCGCTAAGACGGGAATGACCATTCTCGTTGTCCAGTCCAAGGTCCCCAATAAACAATGACTCCATAGCATTGCGCAGCTCGGGGCGGTCTGCCCAAGTGTATTCCGTCATTGTAGTCCCAAGCTTATTATCGGCCACTGTGCTTAACCGGCCGAGAGCCATAGTCGAGGGAACTCTAGGCCCCACTGCTCTTGTCGGGCTGTCGGATGCGTCGTTCCATGTGCCGTCTCAGGTGCGACTCGAAGAAGCGGTGATGAATAATACATCATGGGATGTGCGTGAGGGTTAGTATAAGTGGCATGGCGACTGACATGACATCTAGAGGAGAATAAGAGGAAATAAGAAAGAAAAGCATCTCGAGGGCGCTATTTGATCTTATACTGCGACTGTTTGGTGATCGGGTGGCCTTGGCGAAATTGCGTGCTCAATAGTTGCCTTAAGAACAAGGCCACAATATAGCAAGTTCACGTTGACCGAACTATAACCTCAGCTTGACTATGACTATCAGTTAATATCTTCATTGTTGGATATTCAATAGTCTGTATAATCATCATGTGCATCATATCTCTACAGCTCAAACAGCCCAAAAAACCCTCATACAAGCCCTTTCAACATGATTAGACCAACCCGGAAACCTCGCTCTAGCCCAAAGAGCAATAGAATCCCCAACCTCCAACTCACGCACCCCTCGTCCCTCAAGCGTAAGCCTCCCCCGTCCCAGATTTTTCTCAATCTCATCAGCCTCTGCCGACTCAGGCTGAATCCCATCCCGATAATCCCAAACAATCTCAACATGCTGCATCTCCCCAACATGAGCACCATTAACCTGCAACTTATTGCCGCGTGGAAGAAGCAGCGCATCTGCCTCCGTATAGTGTTTCCGCTCCTGCCCACGCTCGTTGTCGAGGATTTCTTGCTCTTCACCATTGATATACATCTTACGCTCGTGCGCGCCGTGGATGACTTCCGTGTCGAACCATGTCCACGAGAATTCGTACATGTTCTCGTGGCGTCGGCCACGGCCTTGGTCGTGTGATGAGAGCTTGAATATTATCTTGCGGCAGGGGTGGGCGCCGCGGTGGGGGAGGGGTTTTGATGGTGTGTCTTTTTCTAGGCTCTGGGTGGGTGGACTCGTTAGTATGAGTTCATTTGAATTGTTGGGGGAGGTGGAGACGTACATTTCGATCGTAGCAGAGCGGTACTGTCTTTAGGAGTACTTGATCACAGTCTTTCTGGATAATCCTTTTCCCTTGCATCTTGTGCTCCACCGAGGCCCAGTACTCGGCTACGTCGACGATCATGTCGATTAACTCCTCCGGGAGGCCGTTTGCGAGCTTCCATTGCAGTAGATATCGGACTTTGAGGACGTCCCATAGACTTGGGTAGAAGATCTCAGGTTCTGGCTCTGGTAGATCTTCGGCCGAGGCCTCTTCAGGGTCGGAGTCGTTGGTCACGTTGTTTGGAGGTTCTAGAGGCATGTGGTTGCGACCCAGTCGTCCGCGGCGAAGGCCAAAAGGTAGCATGATAGTTTTTCGGGTTCTGTGGACAGGTTCTGCTATGATATCAAGCTTTGGTGACACCTGGACAAGCTGGTACGTTGGACTTGAGCTAGTCGTTGTTCAGGCTACAACGCCACTGCGAAGCCCGGAGTCCCGGAGTGCTGTAGATACACCGCTTAGATACGGCCTGGTAGCCTGGAAGACTTCTTTTGCTCTGGACCACCTGACTCAGATCTGGTTGGATCTTTCTTGTGTGGAATATGGTGGTGTGAGTACCTAGGTCTCTCTTCTCCCCGCGTACATGCGAAGATGAAGAGGAACTGAAAGTATAGTGGCTCCGTTGGAAATATGGAGTAGCGAGGATTACTGTTGTTATCCGTACTCAAATATGTTAAATTGAACTGATGAAGAGGAGTTGAGATGATCGACTCCCGGGCTACATTGTTGATATGACGTCAGCTTCTAATTTGCCCCATCAAACGTGACCTCGTAGTAAGAATACGCCCCTATATAGACATGATAATGTCTGCCGGATGGGGCCTTTCCTTATCTAGACTGCCACCGCTTTATAAGGGCGCTCAGGCTCAGGATCAGTGAGTAGATATCAGCACGGGCTCAGACTCAGTGAGCTCTAGTTCGGTCACGTGCATAATGACTAATCAACGGCGTGCTTAGTAATACTCAGTGAGCACCCTGATTTGTTACCTCAGTTACCTCAGCCGCCCCCAAAAAGGCGGTGAATTTGGCCATCCACCGCCTGCTGTTTCCAGCGATGCTGACACACCTTTTTTGGGGAACGTCTGAGCTGGGAATTTGGTGGTACCATACAAGTTTCCGGGGTTTTTGCCCGTGTTTATATGGCGAAGTTTCCAGGCGCGTCTTTCAATATTTCCAAGTTTCTCGCGCACCCACGCGAATATTAAGAATCGGGCGACGATGTCTTCTGCATCTTTCTGAGCTGAACCCATTGACACCAAAATTGTATGTATAACTGGAAAGGTGGGTGAGAAATATGTCCTTAAAATACCCGAAGGAACCCTTTCTTAAGCTGTCAAAGCCATTATATGCCCCAAGTATTCCGCCAAAACCTCCATGAAGCATATATTGACATATTTTAATGTATAGTGGCTACATCTGATCCACAATATTAACTCTATCGCGTGAGAATTGACTCCAAACCCGCCTCACGATGCCAGATCGACGCCCATCACGACGGAAGCCTCCTCGGAAATATAACGCGAAACTGAACGACCCCGGAAATGGACAGACACAGTTGGATAACTGGTTGGCCTCTGAGAATAATCGACCTTCTTCAAAGGCTGGAGAGCCTATTGAATTGGGAGTGGAGTACGAGAATGAGGGCGCAACTGTCTTGCTGGAGAAACAACAAGTTGAGAAGAATTCAGTTCTTCAAGCGCAGAAACTGATTCGCGATGCGTCTGAGAAGCGTAAGGATGAACAGGACCAAGCCATCAGACAAGCAATTCGAGAGCTGTATCCCTATTATCCACGTGCGGGTCAGTTGCAAGCATTGAGACAATTGATCTACCTGAGAAAGGACCTTATCCTGATTGCGAAGACGTCATTTGGGAAGAGTATGATATTGCAAGCAGTGTCACTCTTGCTTGATAAGTCTATCACCCTTGTTGTGCTTCCATTGAATCAAATTGGCGTTGAGCAGACCAATTACATCGAGAACATTGGAGGGCGACCTTGTTTCCTAAACAGGGAAACATTCTCATCCGAACTTCTTGACAGGGTACAAGCGGGCAAGTTCACACATGTCCTCGTGAGTCCAGAGCTTGCAATCAGTGACAAGTTCCGTTCAACTGCTATGCATCCAGGTTTCCGAGACCGGCTGGCTCTGGTTGTTGTAGACGAAGCTCATCTTGTGGCTCAATGGGGCAAAGATTTTCGAACGGACTATGCGCGATTGCATCAATTGCGAAGTCTATTCGGCAGTGGCGTCCCCTGGTTTGCATGCTCTGCTACGCTTGATATGAATACATTGCGCGTTGTTATTGAGGGACTTGGGTTTCCAAAGGATGTTGAAATCTTGCGGACATCCGTCAATCGTCCAGAGTTGCTCATTCAAACAGCTTGGATCCCACAAGGCGCGCATAAGAAGGCAACGGCCTTGCGTTTCCTGTTTGACAATGGTCCTTGTCAGCCCATTTTACGACCGTCACGAATCCCAAAGACATTGGTATTCTTTGACTCGAAGAATGATGCATATACTGCCATGGAAAATTGTCGGTATTGGCTGCAGCATAACAAGCAACCAGATGGGGCAAGTGTTCAACATTGCAACTATACCCTCAAAGAGGCAATGGATACGGTGAAGGTCTACCATAGCGACACCGCAAAGGGAGACAAGGAAGCAATGATCAAAGAGCTTCAGAAACCCGGACCGCAATCCAAGCTTCGTGTCCTCATGACCACCGAGGCACTAGCGCTCGGAGTGGACCTCCAGGATATTGATCAAGTTGTCATGTATCGGTTCCCCAAAAACCTACAACCAGCAACGCTCTGGCAACGCGGTGGTCGGGCATCTCGCCTTGGACAGGATGGAAAGATCGTTATTCTCGTTGATCAGTGGATACAGGGGCGTATCAAGAAACGTGCCGTGAAACGCAAGATTCATACAGAAAATGATGATCTAGCGGAAGACAACCCACTGGCCGATTCAGATGATGAAGTCAAAGAAGCAAACCCTGAGAGACCACAGAAAGGTGGACGCTTAAGTCATGAAGAGCGACGTGCTGTGTTGCCTGAATTTTGGTATCTCCTTGCCAATGAGCCTACAGAATGCCTCCGGAAACGGTTCCTGGACTACTTCAATGAACCTGAAGAGTTCAGATGTAATCCTCGGCGTGACCGGTGCTGCAGCAACTGCAATCCTGAGTATCAGCTCAATGATCCAACTCGTTATCTGTATACTGAGCACGGTCCGAGGTCAGGACAGATGGACGAGATAATCATCAACCAGTTAAAATATTGGTCCAAGGAGGTCCTTTCAAGCGCTTTGAACGGAGTGAAGTTCATACCTGATTGCTCAAGCATACTGGCAGAAGAACAATATGTCCATCTTGCGATATATATTGAAAATGCCACCTATTCGGAGCGGGAATATTTCCAGGCAAAGGATCTTCAGACAATATTGGGAATATGGGCTTTGTCGAATCAGCTTGCTGAGGGTCTTGTGGATGTCTTGAAGAATGCATATCAAGCAGCCTTTATGGCCACTATTCAAACCCCTGCAAAGAGGAAGCGTGTGTCGAATGACTCTAGTCAAATGAGTGAATGCAGCAACCTCACATGGTCTTCTGCAGTCACGCCAGAAAGCACCAGTCAACCAACTCCATCTCGGAATATCTCTCCGTGGGTTGATATTAACACGCCATCCCAAGCTTTTATGGACATGCCTCCTCCTTCGGCAACTCCAGTTCCCAAACGCAAGGCCCTCGGTGTGGTATCAGGAAATGGGCGTCGCGTGATGAAGGGTGGAGAAGACCTAGGTTCTAAGGTCTGGTAGAGAATGATGAACAATCCATCTGATGCATTCCATCAATGTGTGTCAGTCACCTTATAATATAGCGTGGGAGTATTATCAATGGAATGAAGAGAAGTATAGCTAAAGCTGTCCCGGCAGCAACCTGCTATTCAGTGTCATGTGTCATTCTCTTCAATCTCATCTAGAACAGCAATAGGAGTCGATGTCATCTTGCTAAAATCAACTTCTTGTGCCCACTGTCCGTTGACGACGAGGCTATTGAAGTTCTGTACGGCTTTGAAGAGCTTTTCGCCAATTGTTTCTGTGAGTATATCACATGGTTGAAAGCCTCTTGTCCGACCATTTGGTTGCTTTTGGATGCACTTCGAGATCTGATAAGCTAGATGACGAACATCCTGGCTAGCATCCTTATTTTGGTGTCGCCCATTGCTATATTCTCCAAAGGTAGCCTCCAGAAGCTCCTTTAGATCAGTACAGTAGCTGGCTGTGAGAGCAGTTCGACGGAACATGGTAGTGATGTCCAGATTTGAGGTCCGTCGAGTCGACATGAGTGTCTTCATATGAAGATTGAAGAACTCATTCAGTCGATCAATTTCGAACCAACCGTCCTCCGCACCCCGTAGATTCACAAGTCCGTTGGCAAGAATGGCAGTCTGCAGCTCGGGATCAGCTGCTTTGGTTTGAGTGAGCCATGTCATATACAAGGAGAGGAAAGAATATCGGGTTTTCTTTGTGCCAGGGAAGAGGAGACAACATTGTGCAAAGATCCGCTGGATAATTCCAATGTCACCAAGTTTGATGGCAAGCTTCAAGGACTTGTAAGTCTCCATCTGCTGAAGGAATTTCGCATGTGCTGAGAACTCATAGTCGACTGGTTCTCCTTCTCGTTCACGAACCTTAGACTGCTGCTCTTTAAAATGGAACAGAGACTGGCGTATCTGATCCACAACGTCCAGGAATTGACCCCTTCCGAGGCTTTGAATCCAATCATCCACATCTTTAGCATCCGCGAAATTGACTGTTAATGGGACAAACTGATAGAACATGGCCGTGACGCGAGCGTCAAATGAGCGAGTAGCCACCTCTTCTTTATGGTGGAATGGACTTTTGTGTCCCTGTACGCAACCGAGACAGACCTTATTATGATGGATCGTCGATTCAACGGTAGGGTGGTCTGTCCCAGCATAGAGCTCAAAGATCATATCCAAGTAGTTCATACGCCAGTGGAACAGTCCGGGGATTGGCAATATCCAGCTGAAACGATCGAAAAGACGAGAAGCCTCCGCACGTTCTTTTTTGACGGCACGAAGGAGTGACACTGTTTTCTGATCTCCATAAACCAGTTGTAAAAGCCCATCAAGGTCTGTATCATCATCATCCCCCAGTTGCTCCAGAAAGACATTCTGAATGACCTTGTATGTCCCCTCTGTCGTGCCTTCGTTGTATAACATTGGCCCAAGGCTGTAGTGAATTGTCTTCTGCGCTTGCAGTCGTTTAACTGCTGGGAATTCAGGCCAGTCAATAAGATGGGCTCGCGGTTTCATCTGGCCTGGTTTGACGCACGCTTCCGCAGTAAATAGTTTCTCTACTGCCTCCCGATGAGTATAGCGAATGGCCTCTGCAATCCAATGGCGCTGACATTGATGGAAGATCTCATCATCCTGATTGCCTGGTGCCATGTAGATATCATGAGGACTCAGTGTAACCTCTGGATGGAACATAGATCGGAGAAGCCCTCCTGCAGGGATGGACTGACCGATACAAAGCTTGCCAGTGGTGGCGGAGATATGCTCTGATGGATCACGAATAGTTTGATGTCGAACAGTCTGGCTGTAGTCAAAGTTATCCCATGCCACAATGAGATTCCTGCGAGAAGCCTGGGCATTCTGTTTCAATTGTTTCTGTACACATCTTGGGGTAAGAAGTCAGCCAGAACATGTTATTCTCCGGTAAATGCGGTTATAGTACCTGTCCTAGTTCTGCAAGTTCCTTCCGTCTGTCCATGATAGTCTGGTATGCTGAGTTTATCCCCAGGCCAGCCAGAAAGCTAATCACACGTCGCTTGACACCCATTGCATGTAAATACAAGCCGATCAACATCGGGAAGTTGTTGCTTTTCCGTGGTGCAAAAGCGCAAGCCAGAATTGAACAGACCATCACAATGCTGCCCTGGTGGATCTTGGGTGTATCGCGATGGTTTCCTGGAGGTGTCATGATGCTAACGAGCAGTCCACAGAGCTCTGGAGCTTTCCTCTGCATCTGCGTAGCCAAGCTAGAGATGTCCATATCTTTAGGGTCCACATTGGACTGGAACTCGCCGAGTATATCTCCGTTAATCAGCCCTCGAATCTCGGTCTGTATCCGAGACACGAGATCGGATGCACCAGTGGCATATATGTCTTTTGAGACACTACCTAGCCGCTCAATAATTTCAGGTTGCCCATATATAGCGTCAGACAATTTCTGTGCTCGATACGATGTCGAATATCCATTTTTTTTGACTGGTTGTGCATGCACCATGTGGTAAAGAAGATCCTTGATTGTCCACCGGTGCTTATCATTAAGCTCAGCCAGTACCATATCGACACGTTCGCGTGGCTGCAATCCTGAGATATAACGAGATCGCTGAGTAGACGCAGGTGGTTCTTGTAATGGTGAACTGGAAGAAGGCCACTCGAGGGAGGATTGTCGAGCACGCTTTCGCGATCTAGAGATCATATTGGGCAAATCCGGTGATGCCATTCTTTCTAACAATGTCAGAAATACTCTCAGAGAGCTTGAGAAAACACACCTTGACCAAATGGTGGGGTTGCTGGCGAGAACCGGAAACTTGTATGTACGGAAGGGGTTCCCGGCTCAGACCACGGGCTGATGAAGCAACCCAATCGGGTTAGCGTGGCAGAATCGGCAGAATTCTGTCTCATCATTGGCTGTGGTCTGAGGGAACTGAGGTAACTGATTTGTGTAACTCAATCTAGACAGGCCCCCATAGGGCCATTGCGATAGTTAGTGCGGTGACGATATTGGGGACTATTTTTGTATATAATACAGACGTAAGGGTCCGTCCGGGCCATACAACTAGCCTCCGCGAACTATCAGGATCGTTCAACTCGATTTAGCATATTGATATAACCCTCTCAAAATTAGATCATGTCGTACTAATCTATACGCTTTCGCTCCACCCCGACACAAGCTTTCAAGAATAAGAGAATTCAACAGAGTGATGACACATATTTTCCTTGATTCTACTTATTTCGAAAGGCGATTGTATACACGCTTCAGGCACAATACTGTCTGATGGACATGACCTAGACGTAGAAGAGCGCGAAAGCAGCACCGAGTAGAGCCATCGCTCCCTTGGGAGCGCTCAACTGAGACGACGCAGCAGCACTCGAGGGCAGAGGGGAGGCGGAGGCACTGGTGGATGAATTGTCGGAAGAGGTGGAAGACGTGGTCGTGGAAGAAGAGGTAGAAGAGGAGGAGGAAGTGGTGGAGCCTGTGATGAGAAAGGTGTATTAGTATAATCGCCTTGTAACATTGTGCGGAGTTGCATCATGCCTGAGGAAGACAAAGGACTAGTCGACGACGTGGATGTTGAAGACGCCGAGGATGTAAGGGTGGAGGTGACCGATGTAGAAGTGGTCGCACTGGATGTCGCGGAAGAAGTGGAGGAGGGGGAGGAGGAGGTGGTAGTGGAAGAAGACGTGGAAGAAGAGGAGGATGTGGTACCATCATCCGAAGCGCCCTTCTCGACAGTAAAAATGTCACTGACGGCGAGCTGGCCAGCAGAATCAATTATCTGGATCTCGTAGTCATTTCTAAGCCATGACAGAATGGTATTAGTGTTGTTCTTTTCTGTTCACCCAACTCTATCTTCTACATACCCGTTGGAAATGCTAGGGTTAGGCTGGGTCGTGTATTCGCCGTCAGAGGTCTTGACGTTATCCGCCAATTTGGTCTGGAAGGAGCCATCCTGACTTCGAAGGATGATGCTGATTACTGAAGGATCACTAGAATCGCTAGTGAATTTGATAGTTTTGGCAGTGGAGAAATCCCACGCCGTGTCTGATGACGGAGTGGTGATGGTGATTGCAAAAGCCGATGAGAGGATGCTCAGGGCGGTGATGGTGAATGAGTAACGCATTTTGATTGAATGGAATTATGGAATTACTAGAGTGTGTGCTGGAGGGAATGTCCCACTATTTCCCAGGAAAAGACTATATATATTTGGTTTATAGACTGGGAACTAGATTGTTGAAAGATCTATATACAGAAATCAGTATCTTACAGCTGAAGCCGAGTGCATTGAGAATACGGGATAGTCCAAGCCTTGCACAGAAGCAGAATATGACCTCTAACACGAGCTGAGCCTCTTGTGGAGAGACTGGAAAATCCAGGGGTCATTCCGGTGTCCACGTAGGGTACCAACGAACGGGCACTGCTAGGATCACCTCTGCATCAGCGACCCGCCCTGTTGTGTTGGGTCCATCAAAGTGAGCATTGCACCTTATCTTTCCAATCAAGTTTCCAAAACGCATTGTGACCTGTGGTCCTTGCCAATAAAGAAATAAACTTCGAACTAATGGCTACAATCATGTCAGCGCTAGGTTAGCGGTGAGAAGTGCAGTAAATACGAAGTATACAGACAGGGCTCGGAAATCGAGGTTATCATAATTAGAAATCTATTGTTGTTATATTGTATTGTTACTTACAGCCGTGAATGAATACCGGTCATGACAGGTAACATTCGCCACATGAGCTAGGTCTGTATGCCGTCTTACTGTGTTGGGCCCAATAGTCAAAAGCGACTGTTGGGAATCTGCTCCAAGTACGGAGTCTCTAGTGACTCAACATACGTTCCTATTTTCCGTTGTAATTCACGAGATGTAATATGAAAGCAATAGATCTAAATGTATGGAGTATCTCGACTATAGTAAAACCACTGCAGAAATTATTGAAAAGGACGTCAACAAACAAAACCGAAAACTAATGCGGAGTACAGGAAACATGACCAAAACAGAAGGAATGGAGGTCTAGAGAATTAGATGGAAATGTAGGACGTGGTCAATGCAGCCGTGACTATCAATGTGCTTATCTCCCACGCCAAACTGAATAAAGAAATCCCAGCGCCAGTGGAAGTGTTTGGACTTGCTGACGAGGCTGTCGATGTTTGGGTGCGACCTCCACAAATATTAGTGCTTCGGTTCAGGCTTTCAGTAGGATAGTACACCCGAGGCCCTCCATCCGAGCTGAGGTCCACATTGATGTTTCCGCTTGAATCAGTTACAAATGTTTTGCAAGATAAGAGCTCGGTCACATTTTGTCCGGATGAAAATCCCGTGCCGTCGGAGCCAAGCGTGATTTGGGTGGTGGCTTTGGTGGCTGGCTTGGCTCCCAGGTTGGACACCACGCTTACAACCTGGTTACCGGTAAACCCCTTGCGCATGGCCAAGATGTTTGTTGAGTTATAGATTGGCAATGAGAGGTACGATAGATAGTCGTTCCCTGACTTCGGGGCAATCGTGGCCTTTTCTCCGTCGCCGCTCGCATATGATCGAATGCGATTTAGCGACTGGACTAGCAAAGGTAGGGAGGTCGAGTTCATCGAGTATTTGGTAAGCCATAGGGCCTCCCGGTTGACAGGGTTGAACCCACCTGACAGGTGCTGTTCTTCCCCGTAGTAGACTATTGTTTTTATTAGTATCTTTGGGTTTCCTTTCCGTTTGTGAGGGCGCAACATACGGATGGGGATACCATCAGCGAGCATGCTGATTGTGAGAATGTTGCGAGCCAGCTAATCAGGAGTGACAAAGTCAATACGTGCTGACAAAAACTCGATGCACTCAACTTACCGATATGTCTGAAGTATAAGAGCCAAATCGAGGGACATCCTGATTCGATGTGAAAGTTCCCAAGGGGAGTACGTCCTCGCAATGTGTCCTGATGTAGTCGATAGACTGTACGATCCTGTTCAGGTCTCCATTGGTCGTGTTGAAGCTCTCTGAGAGGATATAATACCTAATAGTGTCAACAAGCCCTCTGTTCATTTTGATGAGCTACTCACAACGGATAATTTAAAAGTCCGCTTAAACTGGGCTGCAGAGAACAGTAACCGGATGCGTCTCTTGTGGCTCCTTCGCCCATAGTGAAAACGCCCGCTGACTTGCTGAAATTGGAGAAGAAGACGGGGGGAATGTTCAAGACACTGTCGATTCGCAAGCCATCAACTACAAAAGATAATTGTCATTAAATCCGTTGGAGAAATAGGAAACGTATAGACATACTTGAGTAGTTCGAAACCAACTGCGAAACCCAGGTGCCCAGAATCTGCTGGACTTCCTGATCTTCGTTTCGCAGATCTGGAAGCGATAGGGTGTTGTCTCCCATCCAGCACTGATGAAGGCTTAGCACTGCTCTCATAACACGCGATGACAGACTTACATCCAGAACACAGGTGTCATTCGTGGGATCCTCAGCAAGCAGCTTGTAGTCGTGAAAATACTTCTGATCATTGAATGGATTGAACGTGCTGTAATCGATAGTGGAGGCATTTCCAGCCCAGGCCATGTCACCAACGACAATGTCCAGCATCAAGTACTATTTTTCCATGTCAGTTTCGTGAGTAGACATGGCAGCCGGCGACTCACCATGCCACGCGCGTGCAACGCTGCGGATAACGCTTGGAGGTCATCGGAAGTGCCAAAATGGGAGTTGACGGAATACAGGTCATTTGGCCAATACCCATGGTATGCTATCATCCATCAATCGTTAATTCTCTATATCCGTTGACAGTCAAGATGACCATACCGGAGAGATCCGCCGTGCGAGTTGACTCCTGGCTTTGCACTGGAGAGATCCAAACTGCATCGAACCCGAGTTCCTGAATATAATCCAGCTTATTTATGATGCCTTGTAAACTCCCACCACAATACTCTCCCAGTCCTGCATCACAAGAAGCCGTGGTTGAGTTATCGGACCGAGCGAAGCGATCGGTGACCACTTGGTAGACTGACCGACCGAGCCATTGGTCTCGGGAAGCCGCATGTACTGTCCCAATGACAGCAACCACCAAAATCTTCCACCACCACATTGTCGGTGGCGTTTGCATGACCGGTTGAAGGAGGATCAAATGACGGATGAAGTCAGAGACAATGAAAAGGCTACTTGAATTAATTGACAATGTCATATATGCTGGATGAAAATGATTTTCGGTTGAGGTACAGATGTGTATCGTACCGTACGTGTAATACATCTATTAATGATCTGTCATGTATTCTGTCGGCCCGATCGGCAGCCCGACTCGAACCACTCATCCCAATCGAGCGCACTGATGGCTTCCAACGGCAGACGGGCCCTAGTGGATTCGCGAGTGACTAGTCTTGGGGTCCGCTAGCCTAGTTGACGATCATTGCCTATGTTAACTTTGGTGTGCTGGCCTCGGATTGAAAGAGCCGCATGGTTGATTGCAATCTGGCCCGATTACTTGGCAGTTGCAGCGACCCTTGCGTGATATTTTATTTTTCCATGACCAGAGTCCTTGGTCAAGTCCACGTGGGGATCCAAATATGACAGCTGGACTTTGGTCCATGTGGTCTGGAAAGCATCAGTGGGGTCAGATAAGGAGAAGGTCGGCCTATCCTTTGGCCTTTAATGGGTTTGACGGCAAACTATTGGCAGGTTTCGGCCAAGCCAAGTCAAGTACAAAGTGCATCAATAGCCGACTATCAATTACGCCTTGCTACAGCCCTAGCAACAGGGACGGAGTGGCCGTGAACAAAAGCAAAAATCAATACGAGACAGGGACGACATGCAACAACGAGCTGCACCCTTATCATCATCTCCACCTCTCACCCTTTCTCATAGGTCTGTCCTGTATCAGGTATGACGTGTTCTATCTTCTATGAGGTGGGATACCCTATCTGGCATAATTTACACTTTTCGATCGATGATTTCCTCTCGGCACGGCTCGCCTTGGATCACTTGTATATCCGAAGGTCCTACACCGATGCGTGCCAAATTGTCTCCATTTGTATGAGACATGATCCGGCTTGGGCCTGGAACCTGGTCTAGATGCCCGAACAATGCGCGCACCAAATATGGTGTATGTCAGCTTGAGATCCATCATCCAAAATTAGAACCGCTCAATCGCTTTGCTGTGGCTTGAGGCTGTACAGCAAGGCTGGCTCGGGTCTCCAGCGGTTCGCCTGATGCCTGCGTCTATGCTGATTTACAAAACAGTGATTGGTATTCTCGCGCTCAGAATCAATTATTGCATTGGCCTGGACTATCCATTATCTTTCACATGCTTCTCTTGCGCATCTGGGCTCTATGAATCGTTCAGTGTCTCTGTTTCTATGAGCTATCCTTTCCTTCCTGGTATGCACTCTGTGGTTGTCTTTTTGCAGTCGAGGCTCGAACAGCGTGTTCTGGGAATATCACCATAGTGGCATTTACTGTGCGGAATGAAGTCGCTCACTTCCATCACGCATTACCTTGCCATTGTTGCAATATCTATACGCATTGCACAGTCCTTGCCATATCTTCCGGAGGAAGCAAACTGGAATCTCAATCAAAATCAGACGGCGACCCACCCCCTCGACTACTCGGGTCAGTGGGATGGCCACACATACAACCCCTCGCCAGACAACTGGCGATTCCCCTTTACACGATATTCCTCGACAAATTTGTAAATGGTGATCCGAGTAACGATGATGCAAATGGCACACAGTGGGAACATATCTTGACCTCCAACGAGTTCCGCCATGGCGGTGACGTTCTTGGGTTGGTTGATACGTTTGATTATCTTCAGGGTATGGGGATCAAGGTGCGTCTGCTGCTTCAGGAAGACCGGATGTGAAGAATATATTGACCATATCCAGGGCGTTTATCTCGCTGGAACACCGTATATCAACTTCCCCTGGGCTGCGGATGGATACTCCCCACTTGACCTGACTCTGCTGGACCATCACTTTGGTACGATCGAAGACTGGCGCACAATGATATCTGAGGCGCATCGACGGGGGGATTTATGTTCTTTTTGATAATACCTTTGCAACGTATGTGAGATCCATCTGCGCAACCTCCGATGTCGTCTGCTGATTGTGAATAGAATGGGCGATCTTATCGGTTTTCAGGGTTTCTTGAACAAGTCCGCGCCGATCAATCCCAACGAGTACGACTATGTATGGAAATACGCCCGTAGATACTGGGACTTTCAGCCTGGAAATGAAGTTGAGAGTGAATGTCCTTGGGAGTATCCTCGGTTCTGGGATGATGACGGGACCGGTTTGACCACCACAACCCTAGGTCCTTCATGTCGGAATAGTGAATTTGCTCAGGTAACGTTCATTCCATTCGATATTGAGCATGACTGACCTCTACAGTATGGAGAAGTTGCCGCCTTTGGAAACTACACCGAATGGGAAGGGCAGATATCCAAATTTGCATTTGTGCAGGATCGTCTACGCGGATGGCGGCCGGACGTGCTGGCCAAGATCAAACATTTTTCGTGTCTAACCATCACCATGCTTGACATCGACGGATACCGCGTTGACAAGGCTCTACAAGTTACCCTTGACTCTCTTGGAGAATGGTCCGAGTATATGCGGGATTGCGCCAAGCAGGTGGGAAAGGAAAACTTCTACATTCCCGGAGAGATTGTGGCGGGAAACTCTTTTGGCTCGCTTTATATCGGTCGCGGTCAACAGACAAATCAAACCAAATCCAATATGACGGAAGCGTTTATGATGACGAACAAGACAGACAAGTCAGATGAGGATCTGTTCTTGAGACCTGCGGAGAGGTCCGCGTTGGACGGGGTGGCATTCCACTATACGTTATATCGAGGTCTGAGCCGGTTTCTAGGGTTAGTTTCTCCCCCTCAGCACTTTTAGTTTACTCAAGCTAACATCGTCCCCTTCAGTCTAGACGGTACCTACACTGCCGAAGGCGACCCGCCAATCAACTTTGTGGAGACCTGGAATGGTCTTGTTGAGACCAACGATATGGTCAACACGAACACCGGTAAGTTCGATCCTCGTCACCTGTTTGGTGTCACGAATCAGGATGTCTTCAGGTGGCCAGGGATAAAAAATGGGACCCAAAAGCAGAATTTGGGTCTGTACGTCGCTTCGTTGCTCATGCCTGGAATCCCCATCCTCTCCTGGGGCGAGGAACAGGATTTCTACGTACTGGACAACCAGGCTGACAACTATATCTTCGGTCGTGCACCCATGACATCTGCTCAGGCATGGCAGCTGCACGGATGCTACAAGCTGGGGTCATCGAAATACGTTGATTTCCCGCTCGACCGCTCCCTGACCGGATGTGAAGATGATTCCGTCAGTCTCGATCACCGCGATCCTTCTCACCCAGTGCGAGGCCTCATCAAGATGATGTTTGAGATGCGTCGAAACTATCCCACTCTGAATGATGGCTGGTCCCTGCAGCAATTGTCAAATCAGACGTTCGACATCTACCTACCAGGCAGTAATGGGACATCGACCGAGACTGGGATGTGGAGTGTCGTTAGATCACGCTTTGTGGATGCGCAGAATTTCGATGGCCAAGGCCAGGGGAATCAAAGCGTCTGGCTGCTGTATTCTAATGACAACAAAACTGTCGAACATCAGTTCAACTGCAGCAGTAAGGACGCTTTGATCTCGCCATTTCCTATGGGAACAACGGTCAAAAACCTTTTTCCACCGTTCGAGGAGATGACCCTGGACAACAGCTCAATTATGCTTAGGTATAGTTACAACTCTCCTGAAATTGATTCCTGTTACTGACAATGAGTAGATTTGAAGGGTCTGACGTTCCCAACGGCTGTTATCCCAACCTTACTATGCCGGCCTGGGGTTTCAAAGCCTTTGTTCCGAAGGATAAATTCGTGCAGCCTTCCCCATATATAACACGCTTCTCCCCCGGGCATGACGCTCGACTTGTGTCCCAGGGAACAAGTGGGGAGACCATACGAATCGGCTTCGAATTCTCTCAGGAGATGGATTGCGGGGATATCACCAACTCCCTGACGATCACGTCCAAAGCGCTTGACAACGAGAGCCCGCAGCTTGATACGACTTCGGTCTCTTGTAAATCCATTGAAGAGACTGATGTTGTGACATGGACGGGGGCACTCACTAGCGTTTTCAGCTACGAGGTAGATTTGGGCAATGTCTTTCCAGGGGTTCACAGAGTCACTCTTAGCAACGTGACTACAGCAGATGGAAATCAATCCACAGGTGTGAGTATATTTCTCGCTATAAAGCTCGAGAAAGTCACAATACTAATTGGGTCGGGCAGTCCGTCGACCACTTTCTTTTCCGTATCGGACAGATAAACAATCCGATGGTCTGGCCACAGTTGGCCAACTACAGCAGAACGCTACTGTTCAACAACCCGTCGTCTGAGACTGAGCCCTTATCGGTAACACCACAGGCCCCTGGTGCAGACATGTGGCGATACTCGCTGGATTTTGGAGCTACGTTCAGTGCCTGGATGACATACACCGGCTTCAACACATCGATCCCCGGCAAAAGCTGGAGCGGCACTGCGGAGCAGGCCTGGGAAGGAGAACACATCCTTGCCCAATATTGGAGCAAGTTGACCGGAAGTAGTACTCACTGGCAGCATGGAGACACGCAATGGGCATACAATCCCCCACGTCGTTTCCCAAACCTCTTCATCGAAGGCGAGTTCAACCAGTTCGGATATGACGCTGGCTATTCCAACAAAATGGCTCTTAGCAACGACACTGGCCTATGGGAAATCCACTTCATGGGCGAATGGCCCGTGCAGGTTGCATTCAGCGCCTGGGGAATAAACGAAGACGGCCTGCCTGATCAAACACAGGTATTTGGAGACATCGATGGAGACAACGTCCTGGATCAAGTCCCTCCAGTCACGCTGTTGAGCAATGTATTCAACGTCACCATCCCACCCCCTTCGCCCTATCTTTCCTTCAAGCTGTCTGTGGGGGACGGCGATCTTAAGGTCTACGCTACGCCCACAGGATCCAGGTGGGTTCAGCTGGCCATCTTTATCTTGCTAGCGATTGTGCCTGTCGCCACCGCTGTCGGTGCGGTGTATGTTTACCTGAAGGCATTTTCCCAGGTCAAATTCAACAAAATCGGTGTCACCGAGAAAAGATCAAGCTTCGCTCCACTGATGAGCATCTTTCAAAAGGTGGCCCATCCATCTAATG